GCATTGATTGTGCTGTGACTTTTTACCGTTTCAAGTGATCACTGTACATTTCAGCCTCTCTTGCACAGAGACAGTGAAATTAAAAGAGTACTCTGTTCATACTTACAGAAGTTTCTTGAATTCCAAACTGAGTTATAGTCATTCAATGTATTCTTAGTTTTTCTTGCAAAATATATGCACCAAGATTATAAATAGTGGTTGGGCAGTATACGTATGTATCCAAGGGATGCAATGTGCTGCCCAACAGTTACGTACTATAGACAGCACAAGAAGTTTTTGGATTTTACAGAGCTTCTAATTTGTTTATACTGTAAGAAGCTGGAAGTAACTAATGTATAAAATATTGACAATTTATGACACTTGTGGTCTATTTACTATAAATAAGCAGGCTATAAAACCAGGAATATTTAAAGTGATCAAGATTACTTTATTCCTTTATTTATACTTACTAAACCATTCTGCTGAAATATAATCTTCATCTTTTAAATTGACTGTTTATGAAACTGTCTTACGTGATTGACTGGAACTGTGAAGAACATAATAACCTAATTGAATTTGGTCTCTAAATTTGTTCTCTAAAAAAGAGTCACCTGAAAACCAAACAGTGATTTAAAGAAATGCAACTTGTTCTGACCTGGTCAGTGAGAGTGTAGAAATAAAAGTGCTTTTTACAAATTCGAGGCTCTTTTTCTGCATAATTTTACTCCCCTTTGTGAAAAGGCAGCAAAATCACGTAAAATGCCTTGGCAGTATCCAGAAACTTCCTGTATTTTAAGAATTTTGATAAGGTACTTATGGGAGGCTAAGACAAAAATAAAGGGAAAACCAGGAGAATGTGCAGTGTGAGCCTTTTCTTTTGTAGTCTACTACTAGAATGCAGCATGTTTTCTAATTTTGCTCACTATGTTCACTAGTATCTGCATGCTGTATTACAGGCACAAGTAAGCTTGCTCAGGCCATTATCCAAGTAAATGTGGCAAAAAAAAATGCCAACTCTGCTTGTAAGTCCTGCAAAACCTGCTGAAGCACAGTGCCTGTGGGTTCTTTTATATATGTACACACATGTAATGAGCTTGTGCATGGTACCACACCGATGTGTCACTAGCTTTTGGATCTGTTGACCTTCAATTCTAGTAGGGTAAACTTGTGTCAGCCAGCTCTATGTGTCTGTTGCCATCTCATATACCATATCGTGAGCTATTACTCTTTATCAGCTCTCCAATATGTGTACAGCTGCTCCTACTGAGTACTTCATATCGTAACATTGCAATGAGTAATTGATGGTTTTAGCTGACATAAGGCAGAACGTCTTCCTTAACTTCGAAAATAAATCATGGGGTGAAAAACTGAAACTGTTTTCAGCTGGCAAAAACATACTCATCTATGATCACTTCATAACTAAACCATCCTATTGAAATACCATTTTCATATCCATCTGTCCTTAATTTTAGCTTGTGTAGAATTGCAATGGGATAAACCAGACAAGGATTCAGATTTTATTTTGTCTAATTTTCTCATGGATAAATATTTTTGTAGAGGCCTGGCTCCCTCCCCAGTAATAAAATATGCTATAACCAGCTTTATGAAGATGTATCTTCACAGTTCTTCACATACAAGTTACTGTAATTCCATTTGCTGTTATACTACACAGGATAACTTGCTTTGCCAGGAAAGATACTGTCAAGTATGATAACAGTAAAGTGATCTGTACTTTTACAATGTTTTACAGCCCGGAAGAGCCTGCACCATTTCCCCAGTGAAGCTGAGGAAACAAAAGAATTGATTTATAATTATATTCCACTTTATACAGGAACATTTTCTTCATTTCAGCAAATCTATTTTTTTGATTGAGTATTATGTCAAAGGTGTGGTGTTGCTACTTATAATTATTTGCCAGCATTGAGTAATTAACTTGATATAGTGCACTGCACATGACAGAAAGCCAGCATAGTTCTCTTTCTTTGTAATAATTTATCCTGTGTTTCTTCTGCACTTGTGGACCATTAATATAAAGTTTATATTTAATAACATAATAATTGTCTTGGATCACACTTTAAGGCAAACTGCAGAAAATGCCTTTTTCTTCCAGGGAAAAGGTTTTGATCATGCTTATGAATTTGGAAGTAATCACATTTAATACAAGGAAAACCACTGTATTCATGTATTTTAAAATATGAGTGTTATCTTTGTAGATGTTGTGGACTGTGATAGCACGAAAGGCTTGGATACATTGCTTAGTAAAATCCAATCCTTTTCACATGATTAAACAGATGAGGGGTTGTCGTAAGTATGTGTATGTAAACAAGTTCTTGTCAGGGACTATTTTGTCATTTAAAAAATTGACCAAAGTAGTAAGGAGGCGTGACAGCAAAGAGACTTCCTCCTCTCCCTCCCCGCCAGTGCACGTTATATCCCATTTGTGAAACTGTTTCTCTTGTACATTCAGCTTTGGTTTGAGTGCTTATACCTTGTGAGGCCTATATAGATTGGAGGATGCAGGGTAAACTAGGCATTGCAAGTATCAGGTAAAATAAGTACGTTTGGAGGGCATAGTTAAGTGCTGATTCCACTTTATGTTCTTTCAAATTCAGTTTTACATAACTGGAGCCAGCAGACAGATAAAAGATGCAGATGACCATTTTTTTTCTTTAATTTAAAAGACTGTAAACCTAATTTTTTTTTTCTTTATATAATCTGACTTTTCTTGTAGCTACTGAAAAGAATTCTCTCTTTGAGTCAAGAGGTAGTTTGCCATTAACTTAGTAAAGACAGTGTTTTCTTTCTGCCTTGTTGGATAGTTTAATGCAGCTAGAATTCAAAGAGCAGATAAATGTATATGAGAAACCTATTAATGTTGACATAATGTGACAATAGCAGTTGCATTCGATATGCTGTGCTACCTTTTCTCTTTTATCTTTGCTTTGCTGCACACTTAGTGAAAATTTTGTTCAGTGATTTTATGTGGTGTCCAAAAAGGAACTAAGACAAGACAATCAAATCTAACTTTTCCTCTGTTGCACAACTTTCAAGCTCTGTTAACATCAGCAGGGATTAGGAGTTTTATGAAGAATTCAGGTTTATACCAGAGCTCTGTTTTGTAGTACGTTATACTCAAGTACCATATCTAAATAAAGCTGGTACGTTTCTCAGGTTTTTCAAGTGAAAGACTCTCCTCTTCTTTATCGTGAAACAGCTGTGTAAGAAAATGTGAAATGCATTTGTTAAAAAACTATAAGGAGACATCAACTGTGACTTACCAGAAGGACACTTGCCAAGTAATTACTAGCTTAAACATGTGATATTGCAGGTTATTTCTACATTTGTCAGATCAGTCAAATTCAGTAAATTGAACTTGTTTTAATATAGATGACTTTATTGACTTTGTTAGCTGACTCCTGAGTAGAACCAAGTGTAAAAAAAGGATTACACTCTACAGTTGCATACAAATGTGGCAGCTAATCTACTTATAAACCAAGTCGAGTCTGCTACTCCTTGTTCAGGCTGAGTTCTTTGGAATATCTCTAAGAATTTGCCTAAGTAAGGAGGGCAGGATTTAGCATTAAAAGCAGGGGTCAATCCTGTAAGTGAAATGTCTACTACCTGCAACCGTAGTAATTAGTTCCTAAGTCTGTAAGTATAACAATATTGTGTGTAACGTGATGAGAGAGCAGTGTATTTATTATGAATTTGTATGTGTCTTTTCTTAATACCTTTTATCTTATAAAGCCTTGTTAAATTTTTTCTATGATACATGAATTAAACTTTTATTCAAGCAGATGTGTACTTTTGTTCTCTTTTTAGATACCATGGATAAAGTATTAATAGTCATTTCATGGTCTTTTTATTTCCATCTGTGACAATCAAAAATCAGGAGGCTTCTGTAACCTGTGTCTCCTTGGTATAGTCATGTCAGCATGGTTTTTAGGATTAATGCTGGAGGAAGAAGGAAAGGAGCCTGTGGCCATGCTCTCATCTTATTCAAAGTATGGCTGTGGGCGTAGTCATCTTGCTTGCTGCTGTGTGGGAAAAACATCCATCAACAAGGAAATCCTGTGTGTCTTGCCGGTTATATTAAATGATCTCCAAGAAGGAAAACTTTGAAATTATTTTCTGCTTGTAATGTTCCGTCTTTACCACTAGATGGCCTACAAGAACCAATGTATCGTGCGATTTTGTGATCGGGTGTTGTGGTGTCTCAGAAGTCTAAAGTGACTCGTTGAGTAGGATATTTACTGCACTGTGATATTTCCTTATGTACCAGGGTATATGGGACGTGGGGGAAGAAGAAGGCAGGAGGCAGGATAATATTGGAATGTTCTGGCATAACTGGCCATACTGGAAGGATTGCAGTAGAGAAACAAGAGTACGTGAGAATAGAATTATTTCATGTGGGATTACATCATGTTTCCATTGAATATTTAAAACGTTTAAGCATTAGCTGGAGATGACTGGAAAGACATCCCTATTTTCGGGTGCTTGTTCCTCCCCTCTAGCTACAGAATCTGTCTTGGTTCCCTTTTCTGTATATGTGAAATTAGCTCATGCAAAACAGAACAATTTAGTTGGGAGGAAATGAGAACCCAAGTTCAGAAAACTTTTGCCTAGGAGGTAAGAAAGACCAGTTTGAATTCATTCAGGTAAGGAAGAAATTGCAAGGAAGAAACATCCTGAGTAAGTGCCGTAGGTACTTAGTTAAAGAGTAAGAGTCTAATCCACAGGCTGCATTGTTGGGGGAAAACCTGAAACAACCCACCCAAAATCCCGTCACTTCTGGGCCAACAAGCTAAGCAAAATTCCCTAGCAAGGTAGTGAATCCAGAGTAGAGATTCGTGTCTGAGCAGGCCATGACCCTATTCCCACTTTAATGATGACTAGGTTATTTTTAAGCTAATTTTTGACTTCTTTCTCTTTGTTATAGTTGTCACCTTATTCATTGCTGTGGATGCCATTCAGCAAAACAATATTGAAAGCTAGACTATGCTTGTGCCAGTTCTGGGCAGACTTCCATAGAAATTAGTGGCCTGTTAGGGACATGGTGGTTCTTTTCCTGGAACAGGGAGGAAAGTATGGGGACAGTTTGAACAACCAGGAAGAACAATAATGAATAGTTTCCCTGTTGTGTTTTATCGCTGCGTTGCCTTTGTGAGGCAGGAGTCCTGAGGGGAGAGAGAGAGCTCTGCGTGTGTGCGAACAGGCATCTGAAGACTGCCTGCCAGTGCACACTCAAGAATGTTTGAGCTTGAGGTGGGAGGGTGTACACAGAAGGCTTCACAGTCACTTTTATCATGGTAATTGATATTTTATTTGGGGTTGGTTTCTTTTCCTTCCGTGGAGTTCACATATATCTGTGAACTGTGAAGTTCTCCGTATATCTGGTGGTGGTGTTACAGAAAAGCTGTAGGAGTTGGCTAGTGTTCAAGTGCCATTAAAGTTTCTAAATGCCTGTTCAAATTATTTTGGTTTGAGTACTTACATGGAAGACAGATTGACAGATACTGGGAGGTGATTGATTACCTTTCCTTGTTAGCCTTGAGTTTTTCCTCAGGGCAGGCCTTTCTCTAATTCAGTGTTTATTTATAGGGCAAATAGCAGAGAATATCCTGCCTGGGGCCACCTGTTAAGGTTACTATTCCAGCTTTCATCACTTCCTCATAATGCTTATATCTGTTTCACAGAGTAAGCAGTGTGTTTTAAGAGCCAACTTTCCCTGTGAGTTCTTATATAACAAAATATTTCCAAGACCCTTTACATCCAAAAAATGTCCAGAACATGTAAAAATAGCTGCCACTATTTGAAAGAGCACTTGACCAAGGCATTTGCTCCAAACTTAAGCAAAGCCCCTCAAGTTATCTTATTTGTGATTTTTAGAATAAGCAAACATCGTTCACAACCAAGCTTCTGTAAATGAAAAGCAAAAAGCAAACAAAGCAAAAGGCCAAAAGGACTTAATTGTAGCAATTGTTGCTTCCAATCATCAAAGCAATTGGTTTGATTACTATGTACCTCCCAAGCTTCCGTTGATGATCTAGACTGGAAGGTATTTCGCTGTGGTTTTGCAGTTATACAACTCCAAGAGCTGATTTTATATGTGTAGTTTCACTTGTAAAAAATATTTCACGTATTTCAAAATAGTAATTTTTACGAAGAGTACATCAGCAAAACCAGAAATCCTAAAATAGCAATTTTCTGGCTATGAGCTTATTAGGAAGTGAGTCTCTCTGTGACTTTCTTGAGCACCAGGTTGTTATCAGGTTGTTATCAGCTGAATTCAACTTCAGACCAGGAAGTTTAAACTTCACATACCTGTACTTCACTGGGGTTTACTCAGCAGCTCTCATGCTAGGCTAACTCCTAAAGCCTGCTTTTCCCAAGAGACAATGAGACTTTTAATAATGTGACTCATGACCCAATTACTAGTATTATATAAATTACTAATTGTTAATACTATTATTAAATTTTATTAATAACAGTGTTACAGAGGAGATACAAAGTGCAGTGAATAGTTTACAGACAATTTCTGAGGTTTTTCCAAAGACTCCCTGGCAGAATGGAAGTACTCCAGAGATTTTGCCCAGACCCATTCTCACCCTGCATGGAGTTAATCCTCACAATTTTTCTAGGCTTCCAAAGTCATCACTAGCATTCACACTGTTGTATCACTGATGGAGTCTGAGGGAGGCTATTTGCAGCTTCTCAAAGCTGATCTGACAATGTCTTGTACTTCTGAGGAAAAGAGAGATTCCTTAAGAACCACATCACCCTCTTTGTTTTAATTTGAAAGATTGAAACTGAATGTTTCTCATTAATATTTGCAAGAAATGTCTCAGTCCACCCTTTCAACCAAAAGTGCCAGGAAACCTTTTGTCTCTGGAAAACAGTTTAGTTTGCTCTTTATGCCACTAAACTGAAAACAACTAATTTTTCCCTGACTGGAGACATAAGCTAGTTCACCCATCATCCCTAGGCTCGTAAGCTTTACTTCAGGTTCCTCATCTGTCTCAAGGATGAGTTTGACCACATCCCTGTAGCTTTCCTGCTTT